GGAGCCCCCGGCTCCAGTGGAAGGTGTCCCTGCCCATGGCAGGGTTTGGAACTGGGTGAGCTTTAAAGTCCCTTCCAACACAAAAACACGCCTGTGATTCTATAATGCGAAGAGGCAATGCGGCTGTTTGGGTTTGGAAACACGCTGCTTGACACGTGTGTAGCCAAGGACAGAAGGGGCAAAGCTGTGAGGACCAGGATCAGTGGCGCAGATGCTTCCCTACCTCCATGGAGCAGCAAAGCACAGCATCTTCCTTCACATCCTGAGACTGCAACAACTGCAAAAGAGAGGAGAGAGAGGTGGTGAGAAATGCATGACCTCCTGCTCCTTCTCCCTTACGACCTTCCTTTCCATCTCTTCGTCCAGTTTGGCTTTTGCTACTTCCAGGAAGAAAGGACAGAAAATCAGAAAGAGGGGAGGAAAGATATTATCAACACAAAAAATTAAGATAAACAGTGACAAAACGCAGGGTGAAGGGTTATCACATGAGCATCCACTGCTGAGAGTGGGCAAGTGGGTCAGAGAAGAGAGAATTTGGATGAACAACTTCCAAAATAAATTTTATTTAGGTTACACTGCTTTTTTTATCCCATGCAGGCAATGAGAAAATGCACTTGTTTCACATACACAGTGACTAAATACAACCATCAGATGACAACACTCGAGCAGCACAGCCCTGTTTGGAAGGGAAGGGCTCTGCCCAAAAGGCAGCCACCCACCACCAAGCCTCTCCATCCCCTCAGGGACACTTCCAACAGCCACAAAATTACCTGATGGGAAAGCATGACATCCAATATACCGTAATTAATACGTCTCCTTCTAGACTGATTATATAGTGGTGCAAGTGCAATGGGCTGCAGTGAAACTATGGTGTCTTAGGTGTACCAGCTCCAACCCTGCTCTGCTCCCCATGATCTCTGCACTACAAACATCAGCTTGGATGCAAGCAGCTTTCAGGAGAGACCCAAAATGTTGCTGTACATGGCAAGGGAGATGCTCACCCCTCTTTGTTCAGACTCAGGGTGTGCAGTGAGGGTCAATGGCTTTACAGGCAACGGCAAAGTGCAGGAGATCAGGATCTCTTGCCCCAGAAATATTGAAACCATAGCGAGGACCCACAAAACCGTGTCAAATACACGTTTTTTGATTTGTTTTCAACTTTATGACTGTGTCATGCACACAAGGTTGCTAATTCAAGTATTTTGCTAAAAACAAGAGAAACCACCGTTGTTCTAGTTGTTTTTCAAGTAGACAAAATACTGATACTCTCTATCAGCCAACAAAGCGAGATGGAGTGTTATGAAAAACACTGTACCATGAGGTGGCTGATAAAATTACAAGTGCTGGCAACACCTGAAGCTACAGACACATCCATTCCATCACCTTGGGCTGAACAACCCCTGCTGGCCCTGAACTAACCCTGTGTGCAGTGGAGAGCTGAGTGCATGTACTAAACACAGAGAAAAAAGAGAAAAATTGGGAACACCGGCTTCACCAGTATCTGAAACTCAACAGGGAAAAGCAAACTCTGGAAAAGTGGTTGAATTAATCACAACTGCCCATATAAAAATTGCTCAAATGTGCTCCACATCCTTTAGTTAAAATGACAATTCTGATTCTCAGCCTTTTATCTTCATTTGTTCATGTTTCGTTTCCTTTACAAATAAACGCCTATTTGTTTACCAGCTCCATAACCGCTGGAAAACAGCAAAGGAAAAAAAGAGGCAATTCTAGGAATTATCTTTGATCTCCAGGTTTTGCCTTCACCCTCTTCTGTTTTCAGCAGAAAGCAGTGTGTTTGCTTAGAAGATGATGTTTATACCACAGCGATGAACATGCAGTCCATTGTTTTTTATCTCGCATTAGCCAAAGGTTCAGCCAGCATTTTGAACATGCAACAGTTCTCTCCCCCAGCCCCCCCAGTTTATCTTTCTGCTGAATTGTTTGGAAAATATTAGTTAAGCCCAAGACACATGCTTTGAGATAAGTTCTCACAAAGAGTTCTCAGATTCCTAGCAAAAAACGGTGAGATTATTTTAAACCCAACATCAACAAGGAAAAAAAATCATTAAAGGACAAAGATTGGACTCGATTATCTTAAAGGTATTTTCCAACCGCGTTGATTCTATGAAATATAAACAAGCATTAGCCCAGAAATTCATCCCTGGGGTACGCAGCTCGTGAACATGGCATGAAGCAGGGCTGCGAATTAAGTATTTATTCACCTTTCCTATTTTTGCTATTCTTAAGAACGTAACATGAAAAATAAAGCACAGAAGTGGAGCTAGGACTTGTTAGGAAGGACCTAGGGCGGCCTGACTCCAGCCTTTCCTCTGCTGTGCACTCCTTGATGACTCTGCTCTCTGCCAGGGTATATGTAGCCAGGGAAAGGCTGCAACTTCACTCGAGCTTTCCTTGCCCCAGCTTCCCACCTGCACTGTTGTGACATGCTTCCCTACCTCAGAAAGTGTTTTTGAGGATGAATATGTCACTGTCAAGTGCTTGGATATTTGGCTAATGAGGAACAGATGAAACAGAGACTATATCCTACCCGCAAAGTTGGGCAGGCACCCTCTACCACACTGCCCTCCTGGACATCATCTGATGTGACCTGCCTGAACAAGGAGAATGCAGGTGCTCCACCTTGTCCATCAGGGCACCATGTGTCCCATTTCATCCATCCAAGCACTATGTGCTCCGCTGCTCCACTGAGGTACCATGTGCCCCATCTCATCCATCCAAGTACCATGTGCTCCACTGCTCCATCAAGGGTCCAAGAGGTACCAGACCCAAGGGCCACAATTCAACCTCTGCCTAACCCTTACCCTAACCTGCAACCTGCCCACCAAACCAGGCACAGCCCTGTGCAACAGAGTAGGGCCCAGCAGGTAAATCTGGTGGTGCTCTAGGAACCAGAACCCCAAGTTCATGCCTACATGAACATCCTTTGCATGTTCCTGGTCATAATTATGTTTCTAGCATGCTGAAGGGGAGCTCTGGAGCTTCCATGGGGTGTAGGCACCATCTATCTGCTGCTGACCCCTGCGTGCTGGGACAGGAGATCAAGGAGCCCAGTTTGCCCTGGCCTGGTGCGGGCACTGCTGAAGGCAGACAGCCAGGGTTGCACTGCAAGGACTGCACTGCACGGGGTCCTGCCATCGAAGTCCTCATCCACCAGTGATGTCTTGCATGGATTTCTCAAAGGGTGCTTCATCCCTACCCACGGCTGCCCCATGACAGCACCAGGCATGCCAAAGCGTGGGGTGGTTGCTTCAGCAAGAGCATAGTGTTTCCCAAAGCTCTTTGACCCCCATGTCCGCCCTGATGTCACTCCAAGAAAAGATCAACCATAAAATCACAGACTGGTTTGGGTTGGAAAGAACCTTAAGACCATCTATTTCCAACCCCCTGCTGTGGGCAGGGACACCTCACACCAGACTACGTTGCCCAAGGCTCTGGCCTTGAACACTGCCAAGGATGGGGCAGCCACAGCTTCTCTGGGCACCCTGTGCCAGCGCCTCAGCACCCTCACAGGGAAGAGCTTCTTCCTTCTGTCCAACCTGAAAAATGGTGCAAACACTTCTAGACCTCCAGGGAAATCACACCCCTGAAGTACTGGCACTGGTGTGACCATAAACCAGAACTCACCCAATTGCATCCATCCTTTGCAATCTAATTCATATTTACTTAAAATATTTTTAACGTAAACATGCTGTACCCATTTAAATTAGCACTCCCACACTGGAATTATTATTTAACTATTTATAACCACTCCTCCCTGCTGCGCGCATCTACCCAAATCCCACCATCCCATCCCTCTCCACCAGGTTCCCACACGGTTCAACCTGGCTGATGAAGGTGGACGCGGCAGCGGGAGGCAGACAGCAGGGCAGGTGAGCTGAGACTCACACCCTTCTTGGTTTAACCTGTAACCATCCCCCGGGGGCTGGGGCTGTCTGAGAGAAAAACTTCCCTTTGCTCTCCAGCCGGTTTCCCCCGTATCGGGCGAAGCCGGGCAATGAAAGCAGCAGTTCCTGCTGGAAAGCAGACAAAGAGTCTGCTGGATTTCCTAAGAGAGAAGGCTGCATGCCAGAATCTGCCCGGCCAGTCATATAATACCCAGCCTCGGTTGCGAAAGGCTTCTCACTTTTGTTTCTAGTGCTGGACTAGCAGCTTTGCACACTGGTGAGGCTCCTCTTCCAAACTTCTGTGTCCCACTGAGAGATGGAGCACTGGCCAAGGGCCCCTGTGAGGCCAGCTGCCCGTATGGGCTCTGGGTGCTAAATGTTTTCATAACCAGCCCCAAATAAATGGTGGGTTCTGCTCTTGGAAGTGCTGCGTGTGGTGGGGGAGTTGCAGTGCCTTGCAGAATGGCTCCTGAGTGCAACTGGTTTCTGTGGAATGCTACTGGGAGCAGTCTCCCCTGGCCTCCCAAAACCTGCTCTTCACATCTTTGCAGAGGTAAGCATCATAAGCCCCAAGGGGTGGGCATGCAATTGAGGCTGAGGGGGCAAAGAAGCCCCAAAAGCACATCTGTGCTTCATCATGGAAAGAACCAGCTTGGTCCTCCTGAACAGCAATGGGTGCACATGCCATTGGTGGAGCCCTCCAGGAGCAAGCCAGAGAGCTAAGCTGATGGGATGCACATACCCACGAATATTTGGGTTTATTATCTGCTTTCTGATGTATCATCTGGGCTGCTGAGAAGCAAAAGTGCTTACTTAGTATTCTCAGAGGTGCTCACACCACGAGGAGGACCCAAGAACCTGCCCCACCATCCCTTATCACCAAACCACGCAGGTTTAATTGTGTTCTTCAGCAATTCTCCCCAGGAGATGAAGTGGGAGCAGCCCAACGCATACATTACCCTTTCCAGCTGCAATGATATTTCTCCTGCGAGGCACAACACTAATTATTGTGTATGATATCGCTTGCAAAATGACATATAAGCAACGCTTGCCACAAACTACCTCTTAGCATGCAGTGTTTTCTGATGCTTTGGTGATGACTCCAGTGTGAAAGCACAGAAAGCTCAAAAATATCCAACCCAGAGCCATGGAGAGGCTGGGATGTCTTTTGAGACACAGTGAAAGCTGGACTGACCACAGCCCACGTGCCGCTCGCCCCGACTCCCCGGCGGGTATCTCAGGTTCATCCATCCAGGTGGCAACACGCATGGACATCCAGACAGCCTCGGGCATGAAGCTCCAGCCTCGCAACCGCTCTGCGGTCCCTGCCCACAGGTATGCTTTTCATCTAACGTGGAGGTCACGAGGA